GAGTATTGTTCGATCGAACCTTGAAACTGGAGAAGCAAGCCAAGGTATCGGCAAAGGAAATCAAGGAAGGAGAGAACAACACAACTCACGTAGCCTGGAGAGTAGGAAGATTGGAGACCCAACTGACCAAACATCAGAATACACTGACAGGATGCGTAGGTTACTCAACACGGAGATTGCTGCTAGGATGCAACATGATACCCACATGGTTGAGGCTGATCTTCAAGCTCAAGCAACTCTTATCAGGGTGGGAGTCAATGAGGAGGAAATAATGGCCATTAATGGGAGGCTGGATGTGATCGGAGTGTAACTTGGGAAAATCACAAGGGCATCGGGCACTTACTTGCAACGTAGATGAGTACGAGGAGTCAGACAGTGGCGAGGATGGGGCAGATGTAGTAGTAGAAGAACATCTAGGATTATATATTAAGTATGTAATGTTTGGTATTATCGTGGTTTTGGGAAAGTATGGTATAACAGGGTACGAAACTCTTTACGAATTTTGGGTCTTCTGACCATTGATGTAATAGCTAGTAGAACTTTTGTTTCCCAAAAACCTTACGAAAGTTATCATAATGATATGTTTAATGCCACTATGTATGATATATTGATGCATACTATGCATACTTTCTTCGGTGTCAATTTAATGTGTAAATTTTGTAATTAGTAAATTCCACGAATAATGCAATAAGTTTTATCGAAAGAACAGGCGGGAGATCCAGGAGGGTACAATCCAGGCCAACCGAAATACCCATCACACCTGAAGCTGGTCTGCCTACAACCACGGTAGAGGTAGAACAATTGATAGCGGATCGACTTGCGGTTGCTCTGGCATAACCAAAAAATGTTCGCAACGCCATCTATGGAGCAGGTAACGGTGGAAATGGTAACAGACAAGGCAGCAACTCTTAAGGAGATATTAGAGGACCACAACGAACGTGTAGCTATAAAGATTTCACTAACTGCAAACCCAAGAACTTTTATGGGACTGAAGGCATTATCAGACTGACCAGGTGGATCGAAAAGATGGATTCCGTCTTCTAAATATATTTCTGTCCCGACGATAGTAAAGTCCGATTCGTTGTGAGTACGTTTATGGACTCAACCCTTACTTGGTGGAATGACCAAGTAAAAACCCTGGACATTATTCTTGCAAACTCTCTATCGTGGGAAGAACTAAAAATGATGATAAAGAAAGAATATTGCACGAGAGATGAGATTCAAGCGATGGAGCAAGAATTATGGAATTTGAAGATGAAAGGTCTTGGCATCAAAGCTTATACGACCAGGTTCAACGACCTTGCGATATTATGCCCGACTCTAGTAACCCCAAAATACAAGAAGATCGAGCGTTATGTTTGGGGTCTGGTGCCACAAATAAGAGGAATAGTGTTGGGATCACGATCAACAACTTATGAAAGTGTCAGGGACTTGGCAAGCCGTTTAGTCAAGAACGAACTCAGTCGGGGAACATCAAATACTAAGGTTGAAACACCCAAAACTGAAAATAACAAGCGCAAGACGAGAGGTAAGGATTCTTGGCAATCGTCAAGGAAGAAACAAGGAACTGGAGCTGGATACGCGGTAACTACGACAACCAATCCAACACCAGTTCACCATACCCTCAATGCAACAAATGTCACAAACGTCATCTTGGTGAATTTTATTACTATACAAAATGTAACAAGAATGGGCACACAAGCAATTATTGCAAAAACTCAGTGCCAATTGCAAGAGGTAGTCAAATGAATGCAGGGTCAATCGGAAATAGTGGCGGAAATTGTTATGAATGTGGTGGATCGGGACATTTCAGGCATAACTGCCCGAAACTGAGAAATGTGGGTGATAAGGCATGTGGATGGGCATTCGTTATTGGAAACAAGGAAGCAATCCAAGATCCCTCGGTGGTTACCGGTATGTTCCTTATCAACCACCTTTATGTTACAGTTTTGTTTGACCCCGGAGCCAATAAGAGTTTTATAACGACGACATTTACAAAATTATTAAACCATGAAACCAAAAAATTAGATGTAGCTTATGCAGTAGAAGTAGCAAATGGTCAAATAGAACGTACAACTGAAATCTTAAGAAATTGTACTAACGCTTAACGATCATACTTTTCAAGTCGACCTCATGCCAATGTCAATCAGAAGCTTCAACGTCATTATTGGCATGGATTGGCTGTCTCGCCACCATGCGGAAATCATGTGTTATGAAAAAGCAGTAAGGCTAACCTTACCAAATAGAGACTCTAGCCATCTACGGTGACAAGTCAGGTCAGAACCTCAAGCTTGTGTCTTACATAAAAGCACGAAAATATCTAAACAAGAAGTATTACACCTTTTTAGATCATGTAGTAGATAAAAAGTGTAAAGTGAAAGAAATTAAGGACATACCACATGTATGCGATTATCCTGACGTTTTCCCAGAAGAACTACCAGGATTACCACCAACCAGACAGGTCGAGTTTAGAATCGACCTAATCCCCGGAGCAGCTCCAGTAGCTAGAGCACCCTATAGGTTGGCCCCATCAGAAATGTTGGAACTCTCGAGCCAACTACAAGAACTTCTTGACAAGGGCTTCATCAGACCAAGTTTTTCTCCTTGGGGAGCGCCAATATTGTTTGTCAAGAAGAAAGATGGGTCCTTTCGAATGTGCATCGACTATAGAGAGCTAAACAAATTGACCATCAAGAATCGATATCCCCTCCCTAGAATCGATGATTTGTTTAATCAACTCCAAGGGTCCAACTATTATTCAAAGATTGATCTGAGTTCAGGATATCATCAACTCAAGATACTAGACGAAGACGTATCGAAGACTACATTCAGGACCCGGTACCATCATTATAAGTTTCTAGTCATGCCTTTTGGGTTGACAAACGCCCCAACAGTATTCATGGATCTCATGAATCAAGTATGCAAGCCCTATTTGGACAAGTTCGTGATAATATTTATAGATGATATCTTGATCTATTATTTAACTAATGAGGAGCATAGTCAACATCTATGATTAATCTTGGAGCTTTTGAGTACGCCAAATCCTCTAAATGCGAATTTTGGATCAGACAGGTACATTTCTAGGACATATGGTGAGCAATAAAGGAATTCATGTGGACCCCGCAAAAATTGAGGCGGTAAAGAATTGGGAGGCACCAAAGACGCTAACGGAGGTGCGCCAATTTTTAGGCCTTGCTGGCTACTATCGAAGATTTATTGAGAACTTGTTAAAAATTGCAAAGCCACTTAGCACTCTGACACAAAAATATTGAAAGTTTGACTGGGGAGTTAAACAAGAAGCCACATTCCAAAGACTGAAACAAATGTTGTGTAGCGCCCTGATCCTATCCTTGCCTAAAGGAACAGAGGATTTCGTAGTGTATTGCGATGCGTTAATTCAAGGATTGGGGTGTGTATTAATGCAGCGAGACAAGGTTATTGCATACACCTCTAGAAAACTCAAGACTCATGAAAACAACTACACAACCCACGAGGTCGACTTGAAATTGGCACCGAGTTTTTGCAATAATTGCTTGTGTGACCATTCTTGTTACATTTGGTACAGTAATAACATTTACCAAGATGACGTTTGTGACATTTGTTGCATTGAGGGTACTGTCCAGTACTGCTTGTTCGGTGAACTGGTGCTGGATTGGTTGCCGTAGTTACCGCGTATCCACTTCTAGTTCCTTTTTTCTTCCTTGACGATTGCCAAGAATCCTTACCCCTCGTCTTGCGCTTGTTCCCCGACTGAGTTCGTTCTTGACTAAACGGCTTGCCAAGTTCCTGACACTTTCATAAGTTGTTGATCGTGATCCCAACACTATTCCTCTTATTTGTGGCACCAGACCCCAAACATAACGCTCTATCTTCTTGTATTCTGGGGTTACTAGAGCCGTGCATAATATCGCGAGGTTGTTGAACCTGGTCGTATAAGCTTTGATATCAAGACCTTTCATCTTCAAATTCCATAATTCTTGCTCCATCGCTTGAATCTCATCTCTCGGGCAATATTCTTCCTTTATCATTATTTTCAGTTCTTCCCACGATAGAGAGTTTGTAGGAATAATTCCCAGGGTTTTTACTTGGTCATTCTACCAAGTAAGGGCTGAGTCCATAAACGTACTCACATCGAATTAGACTTTACTATCATCGGGACAAAAATATATTTGGAAGACCGACTCCATCTTTTCGATCCACCTGGTCAGTCTGATAATGCCTTCAGTCCTATAAAAGTTCTTGGGTTTGCAGTTAGTGAAATCTTTATAGCTACACATTTGTTATGGTCCTCTAATATCTCCTTGAGAGTTGTTGCCTTGTCCGTTACCATTTCCACCGTTACCCGCTCCAGAGATGACGTTGCGAACATTTTCTGGTTGTGCCAGAGCAACCGCAAGTCGATTCTCTATCAATTGTTCTAACTCTACCGTGGTTGTAGGCAGACCAGCTTCAGGTGTGATGGGTATTTCGGTTGGCCTGGATTGTACTCTTTTGGGTTTCTCACCTGTTCTTTCGGGAATAACCGTCAGGTTAGGGTGCATCCTCGTGCTTCTTCTTCTTTGTGACATGTTGATTAACTCCCTGCTATATTTAACAATAGAATATGAGTTGATCGTGCTGTGCTATATGAAAATTTTCAATATTACTTTTTCACTTTACGATAAAACTTATTGCATTATTCGTGGAAGTTACTAATTATAAAATTTACGCATTAAGTTGACACCGAAGAAAGTATGCATAGTATGCATCAATATATCATACATAGTGGCATTAAACATATCATTATGATAACTTTCGTAAGGTTTTTGGGAAACAAAAGTTCTACTAGCTATTACATCAATGGTCAGAAGACCCAAAATTCGCAAGGAGTTTCGTACCCTGCTATACCATACTTTCCCAAAACCACGATAATACCAAACATTACATACTTAATATATAATCCTAGACGTTCTTCTACTACTGCATCTGCCCCATCCTCGCCACTGTCTGACTCCTCGTACTCATCCACGTTGCAAGTAAGTGCCCAATGCCCTTGTGATTTTCCCAAGTTGCACTCTGATCGCATCTAGCCTCCCATTAATGGCCATTATTTCCTCCTCATTGACTCCCACCTTGATAAGAGTTGCTTGAGCTTGAAGATCAGCCTCAACCATGTAGGTATCCTGTTGTATCCTAGCAGCAATCTCTGTGTTGAGTAACCCACGCATCCTGTCAGTGTATTCTGATGTTGGGTCAGCTGGGTCTCCAGTCTTCCCACTCTCCAGGTTACGTGAGTTGTGTTGTTCTCTCCTTCCTTGATTTCCTTTGCCGATACCCTGACTTGCTTCTCCAGTTTCAAGGTTCGGTCGAACAATACTCTTAAAGATACAACATAATCACCGGGTGGAGGACGCACTCCCGAGCTCTGCCCATCTTCGTATCGGGAGGTGATTCTCCCACCCGAAATTCTATCTTCAGCAAACACAGTCAACCAAGTGGGATTTCTTAAGTTCCTCTTCATACTCTCAGACAGCCCATGACCGTGCTTATGAATTCCCTTGTGGTTGAGTGTGGTTTTTTGGCGGTCTGACGGGTTTTCCCGACCCTCTCTAGAATGCTCCTGTAAGGACTTGGAGGTGAAGGCCTGGAAGGAGGGGCTGCTTCGGCTTCCATAGGTTCACTGTCTTTTGTGGTTTCATTTTCTTCATCCGATTCGGGTTTCTCTTCTTCCATTTCCTCTCCTTCTAATGAGTCTTCCATAGGTTCTTCATCCTTTACAGAGTCTCCCGACGCGATGAGTTGATATCTTGTTTCTTGGTCGGGGTAGTAGGGATCCCCGACCAGATGAGGGGGTGAGCATGGTAATTACTCTCATTTTAGTAATTATTATACTTGTGTATTTACAGGTTTAGTGAATTAACTCTTTATCAGAAAAGTCTTGCTCTAGGCTATAGTTATATATCTTAAGTGAAATACTAGTTCGCTATAGCAAAAGCTCTGATACCAATCAGTAACATCCCCCTATGGCATGTATCATAATATTGTCCGCTTTGGGCACAACCGTCAAATTTATATATATTAACAATTAACGGATGAATGTATACAAATACGTATGGCGAGAATTAACCTTAAATTGGGCATAAAGTTATATATACGATTTTATGAAAAAGCCAAATATAAAATATATAAAATAAATTTGGGTCACATATAAAGTAGAGTAACATCGATTCCTTGTTACACCAAAGTATTATACTTATAAGAATATCAACAAATACATAGATATGATCCTTCAAAACAATTATATAGATAAATTATGTTTATGTATTAGGACCTATAGGAACCTTTGTACAAACCACATGATGGAATCTATGTGAATCTATCCAAGGACAAGAATGTGCGGTGCCAACTTTCTTCCATTTCTAAATTTATTTACTCCTACATGTTACACCCCGAAACCGATGGCGGAAACGTTCCGGGGGGAGGACGTCATGTATAGCATCACAACCAATGAATAACAGCAATCATAGGACCACAACCATTACAGTGAATATTTGAATGAAAACGTTTACATCTGTTTGAAACTCAGTTTGAATTACATTCATTAGTTTTGCAAAATAAAAACTTAAAGACTCTAAATGCTTCGGTTCCTCGAAAAATCCAGCAAGTACCTGTCTACTGATTTCCTGAGAATACAAGCAGTTTGAAAAATATCAGCATAAAGCTGGTGAGTTCATAAGCAGTAATTTGTACTGAAAACATATTGATGAGCGAGCCGAAATGATTGTGTAGTTTCAAGAAAATCCGATATTTTCTTTAGTGAAGAACATAGTGTTATCGATTTCGTATACAACCATGAATGTTCGTTTCTGAAACAAAATCGTAGAGATAGGCAAAATACTACTTCATGTGACTAGCTAAAGCTAATCATGAAGTATACGTATTTAAATGTAAAACCGTAGCATAAATGATTCGGTTTTGAAAACCCTGGCTCGGCCAGCATGCATAGTGTGTTTAGTTCTATTTGGTATAAATAAAACTACTGAAGAAAACCAGGTTGGTAAACTATCGGTGATTTATACATAATGTGAGTCGTATAACCATGCTTGATATGACTAGTGACCTTTCCAACGTTCTTCAGGCGTTGATGTTAAATGACATTTGTACATCTCAGGCGTGCCCGCCTAACTGTAGCTAGCAGTCCAGATGTGGGATTGTCAGTCCTGAATAGATCTATTCACAAACCTCACGCTCTCCCTCCAGGAGACTCTGGTTATACAGTGGTAGGATTTATCCCTGTACACCTAAGGGTACAGTAGTGAAGTAGCGCCTCACAGTATCGTACAATCTAGTTTACATGTAATGCAGTAGCGTTCTACCGTAATAAAAATCCGAATGTATACCGCGTATAGTGATAAGTTACAGTTATGAAAATCATGATAAAACAGTGATATAAACTGTAAACGGTTTCTGTTCCAGTGCATATGTTTAGTAGAGAAAGTTTCTATGCTTGATAAGTTTTTAGAGAAATCCCAAACTATACCGATTATAGTTTGCATGTATAACGTAGCGAATAGCGTATCCGTAAAAACTATGCAATTTTAGTGAAAACGTCCCTTATGCTCGACATAGTACAAAAGGGAAATAAAGTATGAAATTTGCATAAGTTTTATGTATATTCCTGAAAACATTTATGTTTAGCTTATAAGAAAAACATTTATGTTTAGCTTATAAGAAAAACATTTATGTTTAGCTTGTATTCCCTCCCCCCTGAAAACCTTAAAAATACGGAAAAATGTAGGGGTATGAACTCACAGTTGTTGCGTGGGGTTGTTGACTGAAATGAAGATTCCCGATTTGTTGCACGTGACACTAACGAAATCCTATTATCAAATAAATACGTATATGTATCTAAATTAGCGATTTCGATAAAATAAAGTGTCAGAAAACACTTGAATTTCGGTTGAGGAAGGTTACCGAGACTTGCTTGAATCGAAGAAATGAGTTTTCAGCCAAAAGTACCACCCAAAAAGGTGTTTACGGTCTTTGAACACGAGTTTACGGTTTTTGAACATGAGTTTACGGTTTCTGAAGGTTGCCGAGTTTACAGCCGTAAACTCAAGAACTGAGTTTACGGTCTTTGAAGGTTGGACCGTAAACTCGGAAAATGGTGTTTGGATGCTGATTTCGATGGGATAAGTGATTCCAGAAGTTCCAAAGGGCTCCAAACGGTGTTTTTCGACGTTTCCCGGAGTTAAAACGCGATTTTGAGTGTTTACGGTTGATGTTTCTTAGAGAGAGGAGGAGAGAATGCGGCCAGAAACGTCCTAATGAAGTCGGAGGCATCATATTTATAGGGTGAAAATAGGGTCCACTCGTTACAGACCGTAAACGGGGTTTACGGTCGTAATCCCAATTTAGACCGAAAATGTTGTTTTCTCGAGATTTTCGGGTTTCCGCGCGATTTTTGGTTCCGACTTGCAAATAATTTAATTAAATATAACTAGATTATTTTATTAAACCAAAATTTTGACGGAAATGTTAACGGATCTGAAATTTCATTAACGAAAATGTATAACAGAAACGGGAAAAGCTTCGGGTTGTCACAGTACACATCTAACTCACACCTACAATATGTCCCACCAAGTTGTGCATGAGGAGTCATAGTACCACCTGAATCCACAAGCAAATTCGATTTGTACCAAATGACATCAGCTATGCCCCACCCCCCATTCATATGTACCCAACCTCTCATTCAAGGATACATTTAGCTCACATCCAGGAACTTCAATTGTGAGAGTTAGAGAATTATTAAAATGGTCCTACCAAACCTCTCAAATTGATCATTTCAGTACAACTATATCCTATAAAGATCTGAGGAATTATAATCAATAAGGCTGCATTCAACCATTCAAGACTCCACCTCATTCATCATCCTTCCTCTATCTCTATCACCTCTCTCTCTCTCTCTCTCTCTCTCTCTCTCTCTCTCTCTCTCTCTCGGCTACAAGCTCACAAATACCACACATGCTTAATATCTATGGAAACTACTTCATAGATAATTCAATATCTTCCTTGATCTGCATTTGTACATTTGTACAATGAACCATGTGAAGAAAATCCGATCAAATATCTCAGGGATGATAAATTCCCTCATCCATCACCTTACTCGTCACGATTTTCCTAAGCTTCACACACACACACTCACATATTCAGCACCTGCACAAAATCTTGCATATATTGCAAGATTGTACAACCAGATATCTTAGTAAACTCACAGTTGTACAATGAGATGGAGAGAAGATTGATCAACAACTTATCCCACCACTGAACTTATCCAAAGTTATCACTCACCATTCCTTCCATTCTCTCTCTCTCTCTCTCTCATATTCCCTCCTGATCACCAAAAGAGAACCCAACAACAACCGAGGTTGTTGCCTTCTCCAATCCAGTCCCTCTTTTGCCTGCTACATTTGATGATAAGCTGACCTAATCACCACCAAACCACCGCCATGGCCATTTAAAGCAACCCCGACCCTAAGCAGACCCAGTTGGCACAATCCACCGGAGGAGAAGAAACAACGACCATCACCTAGTTCCTTCCTGTCTGCATCTCATTTCGACCCTCAAACAGTTTCCAATCGTTTTTCCATACACTTCCATCGATCTTAGGTAACTTCCTTTCTTCCTTGATCAAACACGTTCAACAACCACCATGAACAGTCGGTACCTGCCATGGTGGTCGCTGGTCTGAACAGTTTCCGACGGGACGATCTCGGTGGCGGGTTTGGTCCTAATCAGACGTGTATAGCTATTGACTGCCTTGTTTTTTTTACCATGTGATGTGTAGGTCGACTCCAAGATTTCCGTTCCAAATCCTGCATAGAACACGAGTTTCCCGAAACTTCCGACTCTCGTAACTAACGTGAGTTTCTAGAGCCCCTGTTTTCTAATTTTGTAGTTTGGGGGAGAATACATGTGCGTGAGTCGTTTGATAGCTTAAAATTATTTAGGTCAAGAAATTCGTATTGTGTTTCATTATAAAATGTTTTGCTAAAAAAATAACCAAGTTTGAAGTGTTGTGATGCAACTAATGGTCCTTTAAGCATAACTAGTATCTAAATCTGGGGAGAATACGTATTCCATAATCGAACAAAATCGTATTGTATATTATGCATCCTAGTGGTGGTAAATAAAAAAATTGACATTACAAACCTTGGTGATAAAAGCCTGTAACTGTGCATATATGAGAAATGAGGACATGTTAGTCAATATAATATCTTCCTGTGAAACGTGGTATAACATTTAGGTCTAAAAATCATCAATTACGTATAACATTTTATTATTATACAAAAAGTTATAAATATTAGAGAATATGTTTAAAAATGGGATTAATGTCCTAGATTTATCTTAACCATACGCAGATGGTAAAAAGAAAGGGTAGTGTAATAATAAAAAAGTCAACAGAGGTCAAAATGAATATACATGTATTATTTTGTTAGTTGTTATAATAATAATAAAAAAAAGTTTCAGTACATCGATATGTAGTATTGACTCAAAAATGTCAATTATAGTAATTTTATAAGTAATAAAGTAATGTATATACTAATCTATGAATACCGAAATATTCGTTACATAAGTTAGTTCATCAACTTCGGAATTTAAAAATCTTTATGGGTAGCATTATTATTCAATAATTGTATCAAATGAAAAGTTGGTAAAGAAAAAAAAAACATTCATATGTTTATTCAAGTATTGCTACA